AACAACAAGCAGAGATGTCATTGTTTATAAAACACGTTGCTGATAAACAACAGTTCCTTGTAAAAATTCCCCGTTTTTCTCTGACGCCAAGGTAGACATTGCCATGCCTAGTCCCTGTATGGCGTCTTCCCAAGCCTTCTCGGTCAAGGCATTTCGGTGGGGTATCTGAGAGAAAAACTCGCTCGGACCACGTGACCCGAAACGCATTAGCCGCGCGGAATACAGAGGCCTATGGATAACGCAACGGCAGACAGTCGTTCTGTACAGTCCTTCGCTATCATGAAAAACACTGGACACGGGAATTTTGTTATTGGCCGTTTTCACATGTTCGTGCAGTGTCACAAATTGTTCACGATAAGGCATTTTAATTTACAAGGAAGCTTTATGCCCCCCCATTCGTCCTTGACATCAGTTCACTGATGTAGCGATGTAAGAACTACCGTAAACCGGCATAATTTCGTATTAACAACAAGAACGTTTCTTCAAATTGAAATTCTGAAAACTCTATATAGTTTTCGTCGATTAACATGAACGTGTTTCTTCCAATTAAATGACACTGAGATACCTGCTAATTCCGAAAGTAACGAGGGTCGCTAATCTATGGTATGGCTAAAAAATATGCAGCGCAAACATTTATTTTGTTTTGTTTGAACTTTAGTTAATCTACTTGGGTATGTGTTTCCCCAACTCATAATTCCATAATGAAGGTAGGGGTAGATAAGTGAGTAATATATTTGTTTGAGGGTGTTTAAAGTTAAGAAATGGCGTAATCTGAAACCCCCCCATTCGTCCTTGACATCAGTTCACTGATGTAGTGATGTAAGAACTACCGTGAACCGGCATAATTTCGTATTAACAACAGGAACATTTCTTCGGAAATTCAAATTGAAAACTCTATATAGTTTTCGTCGATTAACATGAACGTGTTTCCTCCAATTAAATGACACTTAAATACCGGTACGGGGTACAGACTAAAACGCAGCGGTACTTCGTGCAGGACAATCGAAGCAGTTTAGCTTTCCACCTCTGAGTCAGTGAAGAACTCGATCTCCTCTATATCGGCTGATTCACCCATGCGGTGTCCGGTAAACCAACGATACCATCGAAAAAAAAGCTCGTGCCAGCTCTATTTGTAAACGATTTTTGTTCCCTGAAAGTAACGACCCCCAAAGGCTGCTAATTCCGAAAGTAACGAGGGTGTCTACTATCGGAACTCTATAGTATAACTAGAAATGGATTATCCGTCTGAGACTAGCCTTTGTACAGTCTCCCCCTCCCCCACAGAAACCCCTCTCCGATTTTTTCTGAGGGGAGGGGTGTCGACTGTACACAGACTATCTGAAATGAATAATCCATCTTCAAACTGTCAGTCAAAATCAGGCGGATTGTTCATTCAAATTTAAAACCATATCCATTTTCAAATAAAGAAGTATTACCTATCTGACGCGAATTATCAAACGGATAATCCGTCTCACACGAATAATCCGTCTCTAGTGTTGAAACAGCCATTTCTGTTAAAAATGAATGTGGCGCCCCGGCCTTAAGTTGGGCGTTCGCGTGTCTGCTTTTCCTTTTTACAGAGATTCTTTTAAATGGACTATTGACATTTCTATGCGTATATAATATCAGAAGTAAAATACTTTATAAAATTAAAAGTATGACCTATCAAATGTTAAAATTTTTCAAAAGACATAAAAAGAATAGCTTATTTCATCCGGAGATGATCCAAAGACCTTTATTTTTCTTTTGAAGATAGAAAAAAAATCAGGTTTATTAATAATTAACTCTTTGAAACAAAAGAAATTAATTTTTAACTTTCTTGTTAACCGTAACTGAAAACAATTACCCGATAGCCGTAAAAGAGCAAAAATTTTAGCCGATAACCGTAAAAGCCACCACCCCATTGAGACCCTTTCGTATTCGTTATGCATCAGTCAATTCCAGCTGCCCCCAGCCCCCCTCCCCCCGGGCTGACCCCCGGGCATTAGCATTTTTTTGCCTTGGATGGCAAATTCCCGGGGGTGGGGACTTTTGAGCTGTCAAATTCCCCGGGGTAGGGACGAAAAAGAGGGCAAATGCCCCGTCCTCCGTCAACACTACAACATTTTTCTTTGATCGCACAGTCGAGTAGTGCCATTGTAAGCTTTTTAATGCGCGATTTTTTGTTGCAGTCAACGTCTTCCTTTGTAATAGTGCTATTCTAATTGAGACTTCACGCCGTGACGCATTCTCGTCCCCAGAGCCACTCGAGTTAATTTGTAACCGACCAGTGGCAAGAAACGACGGGCTCTGGGGACGAGAATGGCCGTGACGACACTAGTTTATGATTTTAGTATTGTTATAAAACTATTCACATTAAAACTAATAGTGTGTTGTAAAGCTAACTGCTATGAATAGTTTTATAAATATGAAAGGATGTTCTTCAAATAATATCAAGAGAAACTTGATTCAATAACCAAAAAAACGTTGATTCACGTCGATAGCTCCCGAGTTTCGCTATGTAATTCCGGCTTGATAAGCAATGAAGGAATGCGAGCCAATAAAACCGAGAACATACCTTTACAAACTTCTTCAATTTTTTCCCGTCCTTGACAAATGATCCAATCTGCTTGTTTTTCCGGTAAAATCTTCTGTGTAGTTATATTCTGATAGGAAACCGCGTACGTGTCAAAAGCTCGGGGTTGGCCCCGGGGTTGGCAAATGCCCGGCCCGACTGATGCATTTATGCACCTATCAAAGTAAAGCCGGCGAGGGGGGAGGCAGGGCATAGGGTGGGGATTTGATTGTCTTTGTTGGCCCTGAAGTAGGGCATTTGACTGATCTTGTTCTCCCAGGGGAGGGGATATTTGAATCTTTCTTCGCCCGACGTGGAGATATTTCACTGCTGACTCGGACGAAAAAGACTTAGACCGAGCATATGTTTCCCGCTTCCGCGCTTCACGCATGCGCCGTACGGTTTGAAAAGATCAGGAAGTCACGGAGGCCAATGAGAAAAAGCGAAGGCTGAGTGGATTTCACTGTTTTGTCTTCAAATTTCGTTTGTTTTAACGTGTTTTTGATCAATTGAACCTCTTAAAATACTGTGGTATCAAAGTAAACGGAAGTAAAGTGAAACCAAGTCGATTTTTGCAAGTACAATTGATTAGTGTATGGCTCATTTGCTACAATCACTGTAAACTTATAAACTGACTTTGTTTGTACCCTTTACTAAGAACGGTATATTTAAACTTACAAAATGTGGACTCAGTCTCCTAAAGGTTTATGGATTCTACGCAGTGNTTGGGGTTTTCTCTTGGAGTGATAGGAATTTGGAACCCTCGGGGGGGGAAATTTGTTTCATTTTAAAGGGAAGATGTTCCCCTGGGTAGGGAAAATTGTTTCAAAATTTTTAAAAAAAACAAACCCCCCCCCCATGCCCCGCTTCTCCCCCCCCCCCCCCCCCCCCAACCCCCCGCCGGCATTACATTGATAGGTGCATTATAGACCCATGAATTTGTGAGTCACAAAAGTTTGAAGATCGATTGAAGACTTTGGGAATGAACAGATTTATTGCAAAACGCAGAAGATCCTTAGAATGTATGCGTTGGTAATTAAAGTCAACTTTCCGTCTTTATTTGTTTTGTACGGGGGGGAGGTACTATGATGGCTATGCGGAGAGGCTCCGTCTGAAAGGGATTTCTTAATAGAACTTTACAAAAAGGGGTTGGGGGACCCCAGGTAGGTTTGTGGGGTAACCTGCTCAGGTGGGGTGAAAGATAATCCGCGTTTACATGCAATCTTACAACTCCGCCATCCCGGGGTGCACTTTTTCAAGATTATTGACTGGTCGCTAAAGCCTGGTTCCTATATGATCGTCCGGATGGTCCCGATCACTCCAGTCGTTTCAAAATATTTCGAGACGATCCGGACGACTGGGGCGATTGGTAGTTTCCATATGATCGTCTCGATCGCCTCAAAGGCAAGAGACGCGGGGTCGTCAGTGATGTCTCTGGGTCAGACAATAGAATTTCTGCACGTGTTTTGCAAAAAAGCCACATAAATGGATGATTTTTATTCGTAAAGCGAACCTCGTACCTTGGTATCTGCTTTTTCTCTTGATTTTGCATCATTGAAAAGCTAGAAGAGTTCCCCGAAGACATAGTATCTCTTCGAAAACTTGATGTCACGGACTTTCTCTAATTTCAAATAACCCCATACGCGCTGCGAACATTTGTGTATTATTTTTTCGGCTTCAGCGCCATTCGGGCCGAATTTATTCTCGATTACTGGAATAAAAGTGATGACTTCTGGGATAGCCTTCGATCGTCCCGATCGTCTCAGTCGTCTGAGAGCGTTTCCATATGATCGCTTCAAAATTTGCATGATCGTCCCGATCGTCCGGATAGAACTCAACTCTATCCAAGCAATCGAGGTTGTCTCAGTCGTCCGGGTCGTTTGCGATCGTCTGGGTAGCGTTTCCATATGATCCCAGTCGTCTCAAAAAATGTTCAGACGATCGGGACGATCCGGAAGATCATATGAAAGCCAGGCTTAAGCACATGATCAATAAAGCAAAAAATGGCGCGCGGGTAAACGACGTTTTCTGGCGGTTAATGCCCTTACATTCTCACATACGTGCTCCTCTTGCTGCAATCTTTCAGTGCTGTGGCTTCCTATTTTCACTTTTAATGATGCAATTAATAATTTTATAACTTTATTAAAGCCTATTCATGTTACACGAATCCGACCACTGCTTGGCGGGTTAGCCCACCTTGAAAACTTACGTGGCAAAATTTGACCTCGGCTAAGTGGGCTACCTGGTCTAGCAGACCGGGCAACCCGCCCCGGCGGGTCACCCCACCTATCATGTTAACGTTTTCAAATTAAAATGAGCGATTGTATTGGCAGTTGGATACCTCACCTAAGCGGTTTATATCACCTAACTGGGGTTAGGCTTTTATAGATTGTGCTAGCATGAACTACTACAAGCAGTTAGATTACTCTCTGACCAGATAGGCAAAATACAGCTGGAACAGACTGCCCTCAAAGACGAAATTGAACATCTGGGTAAGGGATATCCCGAGTCCTCTCGCTGCAACGCCCAAGCAACAACGCCCGCCATCGCACTTCCATCAGGTAATAACACGGGCAGCACTGGTGTGTACATGTACGTAGATTTATCACTCTATTGCCACCACCAGCCACTACTACAGGCGACGAGACTAAGAATAAAAAGCCGGCAACCATCGAATCTTGTGACTATTGGTTCGACGCTTGCTCAGTATCGTAGCATTATCCAAAAGGCTAACAGGAAATTTAGCTGGAAGGCAGTCTACGATCTTGACGTTCAATTTCGAATGAGTCTGTCGGGCACAACTAAACAGCTGGACCAAATTGATTCCACAATATACACCACTATCCTCGATTCCTCTGCAGTTCGTGCAGAGGGCAACTCCTGCCAACGTTGTAAGTCTGACCATCATCTGGTACGAGATTGTTCCTTTCGTACGAAACAAACGCTGGAGGAAAGAAAAGCGTCGTCGAAAGCGAGCACGTACGTCAGCAACGTCTCAATGGAAATTCGCAAACGAGCCCATGTTTTCAAGGCTTGTCGGGGGGACCACGCAATGGCCGATTGCAAACTCACTTCCAGTTCTTAACTCTCCATTTAACCCTTCCACTTCCTTGCGTGATTATTGACGATTTCATCTATGATATCGAACATGGCATGCGCATCGGCCATATGGAATATTACACCAACGGCGCTTGAACTCGAACGCGAGCTTGGTCTTGGTCGCAAGATCGGTCCGTTTCTCACCCCTCCCTTCGAAAATTTTGTCGGATCGCCGATGGGCGCTATTCCCAAAAAGTTGCTGTAATCCCGTTAAATAAATGGCGTATCATTCACGATCTTTCTTGGTCCGCCGGTCACTTAATCAACGATTCCATTCGTAAGGATTTATTTTCCTGCACTTACAACACCCTCGATACCGCTATTGCTTCTCTTAAGAGTTTCATTCAAGGTGCTTTAAGAGTAAACTTGACTTATCTGACTCGTTCCGTCACATATCTTAGTTCATGGCCTATTGAATTTGACAGCTCTATAACTACCGCGTATTTTGTAGACGCTTATCATCCGTTCGGCTCACGCTCTTCGCCCTCGTTATTCCTAAAATTCGCCGATTCCTTAGCCGATGTCATGTATTCTCGCGGAGTTTTTCCTGTGTGGTATTACTTGGATAATTTCTGGACATGTGGACCTCCGGCGCCTGATCCACTGTGTTCGAGTAATCTTCAGACCATGCTTCGCGCCTGTAGCGGCCTAGGCTTTACCACTAACCCATCCAAGACAATAGGTCCTTGCACCTGTCTTGAACTGTTAGGGATTGTGCTCGATAGTGTTGCACAGGAAGCACGGATTTCTGAGTCCAGACTTCAGGAAATCATCGATTTACCCCTGTCTTGGCACTCTCGCAAATCATGCATAAAGCGACAACTCCAATCGCTGATAGGGAAACTGAATTTTATTTGCTTCGTTTGCCGCCTAGGGAGAACATTTTTATGGCGACTGATTGATTTTTTGGATTCTGCGCATCACCCTACTCATCACGTCCGCTTAAACAAGCGCTCCCTTAAAGACATTTGTTGGTGGTTAAAATTCTTACAAGCTTGGAACGGTCGCATTTTCTTCTACGATGAACAGTGGCTTTCAAGCGCATGTTTAAATCTGTACACCGATGCCTGTAACATCTCATTCGGCGGTCGGTTTGATCGTTTGTAGTTTTCTGCGACCTTCGACTCTGTTGGCATTCCTACACGGCGCTCTATTGCATTTCAAGAACTATTTGCTATCACCGTTGCTGTGACGATATGGTCCACGTTTTTATAATCCCGCAAGATCACTTTTCATTGTGACAATCAGTCTGTCGTTCATATTCTCAATTCTGGCACCAGCCGATGTCGTCATATAATGTCGCTATAATGTTTGTTGCAAATTCAATATAGTTGTTACAACGCGGTGCACATACCCGGGTTCGAAAACTCACCCGCTGATGCTTTATCTCGATTGCAAGCGGGCCGATTTCGGGAACTGGTTTCTCACGCGGCGGCCTTTCCCACCCCAGTACCTCTCTTGGACTTAGCGAGCTTCAAGTCAGAGCGGAACACTATTTTCATTCGGGTCTCGCATCCACAACTCACCACACCACAGGCCGCCCAAGCTCAGTACGAGAGTTTAATCATTAATACATGTGGTTTCATATTGCGTAATCCTTAAAATGGCCGTGAATATAAAGGATTTGTATGAGAATTCGGGTAAAAGTTGATAATTACTTGCTAGAATTTTCAATAAAATAAAGCTTACCCTATTTACTTTGCTTTTCTCTGCTTACAAGTAAAGTAAATAACGTGTGCTATATACAGTCAACTCTCTCTACGACGGACACCTTTAGGACCGGCACTAAGTGTCCGTCTTAGAGAGGTGTCCGTCTTATAGAGAATCAAATAAAGGGAGTAAAGAAAGGCAAGGACCAACTCTAGGTGTCCGTTTTACAGAGGTGTCCGTCTCATAGAGGTGTCCGTTAAGCGAGAGTCGACTGTATTATTGAAAATTCTAGCGAGTATTTATCTACTTTTTTTATAAACAATATTTATGTCAACATTTTCTCTCGGCCTAAAGGGCTTATCTAGAGATCTTACGCTTTTTACATTCAAATTTTTAAAAATACAAATGCACGTCGAGATCGAACACACACACACACGTGAAAAAAGCAAAGAATAATAAGCAACTAACAGAAGTGATTTGACAGCGAAATAAACGACTGAACAAGTTGAAAAAACCTAATGTTAATTTGAAAATCAGCAGTAGAAATACCATTTTAAAGCTAATCGCTTTTTCTTATCTGAGGCACAATACCATCTTTCCAAGTAATTCTGCAGAGGCCGGTAAACAACTTTTCACGCAGAGCAGCAACTGATCTACTTGAATCTTTTACCTGATGAATTCCCATACAAATCTTTTAACTTCAAGGCCATTTTAAGAATTTCGCAAAATGAAACCACGTGTATTAATGATTAACTTCCCTAGTAACAGTCCCAGAAGTCTTGCCAGTCTCGTGCCAGTCCCTTTACCACGTTAGAAACCAGAGGGGAACTGAAGCCGAAATGTGTCCCGTAATTGTTTTTGGAAGCGTTATGGGACGCGCCAGTTAGTTATTGGCCATTTTTTTACCTTCCCTAGTAACAGTCCCAGAAGTCTTTGCGAAATTTGACTAGGTGCAGTTTCCTTCTCCTTTCTGAAGCATCGCATGTGATGACAGCTAGAGACATCTGATCCGACTGGTTCAAATGTAATCTGATAAAAAAAAAAAATTTAAAAATTCAACTGGAACAATAAATGGAATCGTACCAGAGGTTTTATCTCGCTGCTTCTGCCAAAAGCGTGTGGGCCCCCGTCCGCCACACGCGACTGAGAAAAAACCTCTGACACCCCGAGTATCCCTTGAAAGGCTGCGAGATTCACCTGTATCTTATCGCGACTCCCCTTAATAGAGAGTTTCTGTTGCTTCAAACACAACAAACTTGACGAGCCCATGAAATTCAACACTTTGTTGCTCCAGTATGTTAAATAATCGATCCTAAGTCTTGATTTTTCAAGGGTTCCATTATGGCATCACACCTTGGAAGACAGCTACTATGTTTGATTTTAAATTACTCATTTTTTGCATTAATCATTCCGGCCAACCCCCTATCTATCGTTGAATAAAGAGAATACATCAATATTCTATATTCTCAGCCAGTTTACTCCTATACATACTCTTAAACCTACATTTCTACAATGAAAAACATATGGATGTTAGCTTTTTCTTTTAACAACCTTCTTCTTTCCTTTTTTCGCCGGGAAGTTTCCAAACTCATAGGTAAAAAAAAAAAATTGTTTGCGAAAATTTCAGTTTCAAATTCTTTTAGCTATAAAAAGTTACGAATACAAAAGAAAAAATATGCTACAGGTAGGTATCTATATACAGTCAACTCTCTCCTTGCGGACACCCCGATAAAACAGGCAGTAGCTAAATCCCCCGGCAAAAACAAGTTACAGACGTTTGACTGAAAATAAACTTCTGCTGTTACGGAACTCTTGCTTTTAGGACATTAACTCGAGGTCTCCACAGTGTCCGCTATAGAGGCAGTTGACTGTAACTACCTTGCAATAGGTACCTTTAACTTAAACTGAAAGTTGGATTTCACTTAAAAACATGTAAAAGCCTAACTTAAAAAGCTATACAGTAACGCACTCAGTTTCATCGGATGCATAAACTTACATTTTTTGAACAGCCTTTGTCTCAATAAATTACTGTCAGTGACATCATCTGAGTTGTAGCCAACAATTAAAGCTATATCATACTTTTGTATGGCTGGTTTTCACTGTCACGTCATAAAAAAAAAAAAAAAGAATAAAAAATTCAAAACCGTTTAAAAGATTAAGTCCAGTATCTGAGAAATAAATGGTAAAGACCCTCGCCAAGATTCAGGTCGGCACAATTTTTCATGTGCAAAATATTCTGATAAATGATTTACACAAATTTATACTGCTATGTATGGAGACCCCTTAATTGTGGGTCCCCGTGTTGGTGTTCATTTGCCTGGCACCAACATGTCGGCCGCGAACCAATACATCTGCCATAGAGTTTTTCAAAGAAACTCATGAAGGACAGGCGCGGATCCACACCGGTTTCCACCGTTTTACGGAAATCGGTCAGATTTTTCTTAAATAGATATATTTTTAATAAATAAAAAACTTTCCAAGTTGCAAGGCTTTATCCAAGGTGAATGGAACTGGCCAATATCCTATCTGAGTGACTCGGAACCCCGAGAAAGGAGACTTTAGGGAGTTAAAATCTAAAACATTTACCGGGGGAGTGTGCCCCTGGACCCCCAAGAAGCTTGCATTTTCGGCGCTCGTTGAGGAAATGTACAGCCTCCGAAATGATCCCGACTCCAAAATGATCCCCCACACTGAATTGGGAATCATTTCGGGGGCTGTAGGGCTGTTATACTTCATGAAAGTAGAAACGCAGGAGGATAGATAATTCTTTGTGAAAATCAGTAATTGCAAATGAGTTATATACTCTTTGAAAAGATTTCAAACACTGCAAATACCTAGGTTTATTTACTTAGGTTCGCCAATTGTTGGCAGGGTCACCGCAACAGCGCGTGGCACCATAACAGTCAAGAGAGACAACGGCGACGCCAATGAACGCATCGCTGAAAAATACACTTCACGTCCGATATACCAACTCACCCAGTTACTTGAAAGTATGGTAGCTGGGTTGAACTGAATAGAGGGGGCCGTGTCCGAGTTCGGAGAGAGTAAAATTTATCGCCTTGCCGTTCCCTTTCTCAGGTTAACTCATAATTTGGTTATTTCACATCTTAGTTGTGCAGGGGAGGCAAAGAAATATACATTGAAAAAAGTGTAATGTATAACCTGCAGAGTTGTTGTTTTGCTCATAAACCTAATGTGTTTTAAATGTTCCCGTTGCCGTCCTCGTCGTAGTCTCGTAAGATCCACGTAGACCAAAACACTGGGGACAACTTTCTGTACTCTTTACAAACAGTGCCTTTAACAGTGTTTTTTAACGTCCCACATAATTTATATGGC